TTCCTTCCTTCCTTCCTTCCTTCCTTCCTTCCTTCCTTCCCAGCCTGAAATAACAGTTGGCCTCTCCCTTCTCTTCTAACACTACCTACTTTTGTCAAAGATGGGTTCTGAGAGGACGGGATTCAGGTGCCACGTCTTTCCTGTAGAATCCTGATAGGACGCCTGAAAACAGATTCGGACCACGTTCATGTCAACCTCCTGGTGGTTCTTTAGTGAACCAGCTACACAGAAAGAGCAAGAGAGGACAGGTGAACCAAGCATGGTATGCACTTAGTAAAAAAAACCTTCAGCCCCTAGGACAGTGGCTCTTCACCTGAGAGTCATTTGGGCACATCCTGGGGGAAATGGAGCAATTTGTAATTGTTTGTGAGCCAAAGATCCAGTTGACTGCCACTGCTGACATCCGTGTGTAAAACAACCGAGTCTGTTTTTTGGTTTTTTTTGGTGGGGATAATGATATTATTTGAGACCAGGGAAAGGGGCAATTGGGTCAAACAGTTTAAGAGCCACTGCCCTAGGATATAGCCGAACCTCCCCCCAGCCCAGCCCAATTTCCCATAATATTGCAACCTATAAAAATGTCTTGCCTTTTAAATATCATAGCACCACTGGCTATACGGGAAAACTCCTTGTATTTTTCATAGCTCACTCACACACATATGTGCATCCCCACTGGCTTACAGTACTGTACAATGCCTAGGTGAAAAAGAGAGTATGTAAGCCAGGTTGGAGGACTTATGACCCTCTAGAGGCTGTTGAACTACAACTCCCAGCATCCCTCATCATTGCCAATGCTCACCGGAGTGTGGTTCAGTAACAGCTGGAGGGCTACAGGTTCCCCACTTGATTTAAGTAAAGTTTTGCCCCAGGCATGAAGACCTGATCCCACTTCTTCTGCAAGTTTTCCTGACTGTATAAGAAATATTCCATATTTATCGCCCAGGAATATTGGGCCAAGTATACGTGCTATACACAATTCACAGTTCTCCGAACCTACTCCTATTTTGCTATTTAAATCCTGGTACTTTTTTTCTTTTATAGCTGAGTTTAGCTCTTGCATCAGCTTTTAGTAAAGTAGGAGTTTGGTCATATCAAAGGGATCTGGTATGAGGGACAATAGGATAGTTTATATTGGAATCTAGCCTGATTGAGAAGAGAATGTATACAGCTTTTAGCTAATCAAGACTAGAGGCTGTAGCCAAAGCCTGAGATGTCTTAAAAAATACCAGGCACAGGCCAATTCTGAAACATACTAGGCCAATAAGGGGCCCTCCAGATGTGTTTGGATAGAGTTGTGCCAAAAATTCTCTGGCTGAAATGTCCCACTACAAAGCGTTCTGTTCCAATCTTGAAATAGGTAGAGAGCTCATCAGATGTCAGAAAGTGGTCCAGCTTGAAACACTTCTGGTAATATCTTGCACTCCGCCAGTGCCGGATCAGCTCGCATAAGCTCTTAAACAGCATGTCTATTAGTTGAAGCCAGTACACACCCATATGCCACATCAGAACTCAACTTCATGGCCTTCTCCAACTTGGCTTTCCAAGGCTTATCAAGGCCCAAAGAAGATCTCCTCACCTTTGAAAGGATCAATTCCAAGTTGTAGCTTTTTCTCTATGGATTCTTCTATGTCTTTCTTCTTCACACACTGGATCCCAAGGTTGTTAAAGCTATCAAACAGAGGACAGTTTGGGGTTCAAAAAACAGAAAGACCATGACGAAAGGAGGCAACGCAGAAAATGTATTATACCAAATCAGATTCGAAACCTCTGAATTTCCCAAGATCTGTTCCTTTTCCAGCCCTACATGGAGATGGGGGAGATTTTAATTCTCTGAAAACTTTCACTCACCAAGCATCTGTTTTATTACTCAGCAATGGCCCTTCCCTATAGACTGGTATCATATTTTCTCCCAAATTTGGATGATAGAACAATAATTTGTGCTATAACAATAGCCTATTTCTATAAGTGTCACCAAACTTTGGAAGTATAGTGGAAGCCTTGCAACCTGCAATAATTCAAACACTTGGTGCAAAAGTTATCATTCCCTTATGGCCTCTTCATGCATTTTACAAGGGAAAAAAAACTCCTAGAGGTGGATGAGACTATCTCGGCCAGTGATTCCCAAACGTTTTTGATCCCATACCCTTACAAGTAAAAAAATATTGGACATGCACTCCCAAGAGATGTATGTTTATTTATTTATAAATTTTATATATGTGCTACTGTGCTAATGCATTGTTTTCGTTTAAACACATGCTCTCAAAATAAATATTATTTTCTGTATAATAAGTTTTAATTTTTAATTTTTAAATTTTTAATTCGTTTCTTATTTTTCAGGTTAAAAAACAGGTAAAAATAGACATTCTAATGTTTTCTTCCTGCACCCAATGGATCATCTTGCACACCCCCAGGATGCATGCACCCCGCTTTGGAGGCCACTGATTTCACCGTTCCAGTCCAACTCCTTCTCTGTGCAGGAATTCCGACTGAAGCAACCCAGCCTGATGGCCACTCAGCCTTCTCTTGAAGAACAGACCCTGAGAAGGGAAGTCCACCACTTCTCTGGGTCCCTGGTTCTACCACTTTACTGTTGGGAACTTCTTTTTTTTAACATGAATTCAGATTCTACCACCCTGTAGCTTCAGGCTGTGATCTAAATGTGTTATAATCCAACCTCAGCTGTGTGCAGGCACCCAGAAGAACAGGCATCATTTTAAAACCATCCACCCCAAAGACAGAGCAGTACCTATGCCTGGCATTGACTCGAGGTTTCAGGGTCACTTCACAGAGCCCATTGCTGCAGTCTTTCCCTACCAGGCTGTGGGGATGGATCCGATAAGGCCAATCCTTCCAGACCAAGCAAGCCGTCACTTTCACTTCCGGGATCCCAGCAAAGTTCTGCAGCTGGAGAGACAACCTGGTTTCAGATGTCACCACCAGGGAAAGCTCGACACTACCCCAGAACTGCTGCCTGAGCATCCTAAAGCCTCAGGGACACCTATATCCTGGCTTGATGCATAGAGTGGGTTAAGCCAAAATGTGGCTTGTGTAATGGGAAGTAGGAGTAATCTTGAGGAACAGGAGGAAGAGCCGCAACCAAGACCACGGTCGGATAAAAGAAATCTGAGTCTGGGTCAGAAATGTAATTTGAGAAAGCGTCTCAGACAAGACACTCCCTAGTCCTCAAGAAGATAAAGGGAGGGAAGGTCAAGTCTGAGATGCTTACTCAGATTACAGATCTGGCCTGGACTCAAATTTCCCTTATCCAACCATTGTCTTGGTTGCGGCTCTTCCTCCTGTTCCTCAAGGTTCTTCCCATTACATAACTAGTAGCAACCACAGGGGAGGTAAAAAAAGTCAAGATGGCAGCCACAATTGCACAATCAAAGCCTCTCCCATGGCAGAAAATGATAAACTGACTTGCTTATTAAAAGAAAACTCAAATAACTATTACCTTAAAGAATGGAAACCATTGATGGACTATTTGCAAAATGCAGGCGGAGCGAAGCTTACATGGGGATTTGAAGATTGGATTATAAATGTAATGGGATATGTTTTGACAAAGAATTACTCCTACTTAATGCA